GGGGGGTGCATGAAAGCTCATTTGAAAGAGTTTTTCCTGTTATGTCGGCAACATCGTGTTTTCTAGGGATGGGCGATACCACTTATTTTGTTTTCGATACGATACCGATATTTTTCAAGGCAGTATCGTCGATACCGATACCGATACGATACTTCTGAACTAAACTTTTAAATTATGAAATGTATTAAATTCCTAAGAGTAAAATGGGTAATGATAACCACTTAACTTTGTTTAAAACACATTTTAACATTCAATACACCTTAATTGTAATTTATTAGGTTATATTGTTTACACATGGTTCAAATGTGTTTTTTGTTTACACATGATTCAAATTTACAAATACTACAGTTGAACTATGGTCACTTTAGTAAAACCATGGTTCATTATCATAAGGGACTGCCAGTGACCGGCTGTTGCATCCATAAAATGCAACCTTTTTATTCTGACAGTGTATGATTTCTATTAACATTACTGAATAGAACATGACCTATATTATCTTTCAACGTTCAATTTAAATAAATGTAATTGTACAAACTATGTAGGCTACGATTTGTTTATTGTGAAATAACTCAAACATATGTTTTTTTTCTGTCCTCTGATAAGCATTGTTCAGGGCTGCTGTTCCCAAAAGATTTAATGCTTTCTTATGATACTTTTGGGAAACGCAGCCCTGTTTGAATGCACTGTCAGAAGTGAGGGAACGCTCTCTTTGATTGATTGGTTCTGTCTTGCAACATTTGCGTGTGTTCAGATGAGCAGGAAAATAGTTCTATCCTACACAATTACTTGCGAACAAAGGTTATTCGTCCAATTCAATGCATTTGTACGCATTATTATTATTATTTTAAATAAACAAAATCACTGGTAAATAAAACACACCTTAGTATCGATATTTTTAGTTTGAGTATCGATACTTTCGATACTCGTGTCAGTATCGATATATCGATACTTAGGATCGATACACCCATCCTTAGTGGACGCAGATGAAACCGGAAGCCAGACCCATATATTTTCCAAATGGCCGCGCCCATTTTTACGACAAGAAAAAGGTGGCTAGGTACTGTATGCTAATTTCCGTTATTACAGTTAACTGTGCGAAGTGATCTGGAACGGTAATGCGGTCAAGAGAGCTGCCGGGAACTACGTTCGCCGTGCGTTGCCCTGAAAATAATTGCACACCTCAGAACGTTCGTCAGCCAATAAGATTCAAGCATTCAACGGTCCCGTAGTATAATTGTATTTATTTATTTATCGTTTGTTTGTTTGTAACGAACTGCTGCTTTAGTCTCAGTCCAGCACCTCCAAAACAGTAGCATTTGACACCGAGGTTAATGAGAGGCACACTATATAGTTCACCTACAGAACCCATACGCTTGAATTAACCTGTAAGAATGGATCAAAGAATGGTGTTTGAAAGAAAGAGTTTGTTTTGTGGCTCTGGTTCTTGTCTGATCTCAGTATAGGAGCTTTGAAGGGCATGAATGTGAGCTCAGGTCATGTATCAGTAGATCAAATGAAAGGCCAGAGTCTGTGTGCGTTTGGAAGATTTAGTGGAACAGACGGAGAAAACAGAAACGGTGTGTGTGTCTGCGTGCTTTTTCATCAACTCTTCTCACTGTCTCTGTTCTTGTTGGCCATTTAGACTTAATATATTTGATAAACATGTATGTGATAAAATGGCTCTATAAAAACACCTTGTCTTTGTTTCTATTGGGAAAATTGAGCGTAGCTGTTCACACTATTGTGAAACGTTTCTTATGAAACAATTTCTTTTCCGGCGTATGTACTTGTGGCTAATGAAATATGACCTTTTTAATGACACAGTGCCCGCTTGTGTGTATTTGATTCGTGTAGTGAGAGTAAATTAATCCATGGGTGTGTAAGAGAGAGAAATGCATGAATAATGCGTTATCGTAGGAGTGAAGTCGGCATCGGTTGTTGTTTAGGTTTGTGTCTGTGTTCAGAATATAGTTGATAATGCACAGACAGCATTTACTTATTTATTTAATTATGCACAGTCAGCCTTATCAGAAAACGAATGAATGAATGTTATTTATTTATAGATAGATAGACATACAGACAGATAGATAGATAGATAGATAGATAAAAAAGATAAGCCAACTTGATCGATAATAATTAATTGATCGATAAATTGAAAGTCGAAATTATTTTATAATCTTATAATACATTATTTTAAATCTTCCGCTAAGGAGGGTAAACATATCAGGATAGCAACAAAACAAACAGTGCCACAATATAATATTAAAGCTGAGTCATGACCAACACTGACCAATCAGAACCGAGCATTCCAGAACGCTGTATAATAAATTAGCTACCTATATTTTTGTTTGTGGTATCGCTGCTAGCAGCTATATTTTTGTTTGTTTTGTATTGTTGAGGAGCTGTGTGTGTGTACAATACATTTCAAGTTATGTTTACCTCTGTGTCGGGTAAACTGTAATTTCTCGGGGTTTGTATTGTTGTGTACAGACACGCTAGTAGTGAGTTTATCATTAAAAGGTGTGTTAATTAGAATGAACGGTTAAACGGCTAATTATCTGAATTCAAATGTCTGGTCTGGTTGTGGTTGGTCGCACCATGTATGTGCACAAATTACCACACTGAATTTGCATTTGTGTGTTTGTTTGTCCCACAGGTGTTTGGAGGGCTAGTATGGATCCTAGTAGCGTCTACACTTGTGACAATGCCAAACCCTCTAGGATGGGTGATGTTTGTATCAGTCTTCTGCTTTGTGATGACCTTCCTCTGGCTCATCATCTTCGCCTGCGGAGCACACAAAAACAGCAGCGCCTGGGCTACAGCGGTGAGCAGACATCCCCCCTAAAATAAATCAGATAGGCCTATAATATATAAAATATTTGACTAAAACTAAATGCCATTTTAGTCAAAAGACTACTACTAAAGCTAAATCAAAATTTGCTGTCAAAATTATCACTGATACATAATATATTATAATATGCCTATTGCCTATAATATAGGCTAATATATCAACTGTGAGATTATACGCCTCATCACGTGGTAGTAAATGTCTGGTGTGTGTGAGTGGGTAATATATACATATTTAATGGACTAGCTTTGATGATGTCTTCTGTGTACAGGACTTTATTTATCACCTGATTGCTGTTATATTCTATCTGAGTGCATCAGTGACCCTGGCCTTTGTGACTATCGGCATGAATAGTATAGCAGCACTATATGACAAGTACTATAAAATCGACATCGCAGCTGTGGTAAGCACAAAATACAGACTTGGTGTCTGTTGATACTGATTACTGAATAATTTTTTATGCTAATTTCTCCTATTTTTATTTTTAGTTAGCTTTGCCATATTCTAATGTTCACTTAAAGTTAATTTAAAAAAAGACTTCGATTTATAATATTCTTAAGCAAATCTAAAAATGAATTTCCATTTTTGAACATTTTGAAAGCCGTTTGAAGTTCACATGTTTGGCTGAATTTTTACCCTCTCTCCCTCAGGTGTTCTCGTATGTTGCCACATTGCTTTACTTCATCCATTGCATCCTTTCTGCTGTGCGGTGGAAATCCTTCTAATCAAATAATCTCAGCAAAAGGAAATAATTTTGACACAAAATCTTTAATAAACTGAAAATAAACACTGGAAAACCACTGGGGCTGAAAGATGAAATCTCAGGAGTCAGTCCTTAGAAAAATTGTGTTTATTGTACTAGTACAGATAGCATTTCAAAAAAGTTTCCCTTCCCCCAAATATAAGAGGGCACTACACAGAAACACAAACCACAGCAATCATGATGGAATAAACCTGCTTATTCTTTTCATATTAGATTATTCTAACCTCATTACTTTTCTAATGATGATGCAATCTTATATTTGGGGGAAGGGAAACTTTTGAAATGCTATCTGTACTAGTACAATGAATGACACATGTGGATAAAGAAACAATGTGGGTCTTGTATACTTCTTGTACCTTTGTAACAGATAAATCAATTTTTGTATATTTAGCTAATACGCACTATGAACAACATAATATTTTAATGAAAGAATATGAACTGGACAGAATTCCCTGTGTAAGTAATTCCTGAGTTATGTATGGGCTGTATAAATATGACTACATAAATATGCTACATATGACTACATGCATTTTCAAACAGGCAAATAAACACATTTAAAATAAATAATAATAAAAAATAACCCTAATTTTACCAAATATGGATTTTACTCCAAAAACAAAACAATGAGTCTGTACATTGGTGTTTTCTACAATATTTTGTATATTCAAATGAACTGACCAAATAAGCCAAACCGATTCTCTAAAATGCATCGTATCTACTACACAACTTTTTTTTTTTAAATGTATCATTTATTTAATGTATCAGCTAACTCAATTGTAAATCTGTGTGCACGAAACAGTTACATATAAAACACTGATATACTAGGCTGTATAAAGTGTCGTTCATACAATGAGTTTTTGCATTCCACTGTGCTACTTTCCCATTGTTTTTCTATTAAACATGAGCTTGACACGTTTGACCACTATGCTTGTGACAATGCAGCTTTTCATCAACTTTTAAAAAACCCATCTCTAGACTTGCATTTTATCATTGCCGTAATCCAGTCATTACAACAGGAAACCATGCTAATTTTTTGTGAGGGTGAAAGTGTTTGCCACAGATTTTGCTCATGTTCAAGTTTGTCACGTGGATTTGCCACACTGACCAAAAGAAAACTGCAGGGTTTGAAAGTGATCTCTGTGCTTCATACATAGCTACACAAATGATAATAAACAGCAAACCCTTTTGGTCACAACATCTCACTGAAATTACACTACTGTGACCGCAACTTTACTCAAAACATGAACAAGATTAATGAGTTGACACTGAAAGTGGATTTATTGTAGATTTATTGGTGCGCTTCCAGTTATAAGTCATGTGCAGGTACGTGAGAACAAAGTCTTCAAAAATTCACTTCCATGTTAATCTTTCATGGGCTCATGACATATAAACACTCGTTTGTGGGGGTATATAGCACTTCAGGACCTTTAGTTTAACAGCATGGTTGCAATCCAAGCACGTGCTTCAATGCTCTCCCCAGAAACGATTGTGCACTAGACAGTCAGCCTGCAGTATGGATTGGCTGGGCATTATCATTCAGATCACCAGATGGTCCTTTTAACCCCTGCCCACACTGATCTCTTAACGCCTTGTGAGGCCTTCACGTCAGCCCAGTGCAGACGTGTGTTGGGCACATCGTCCTCTACTTCAGGTTCCTTACGGGCACCGAGCTGCGGTCGTGCCACCACGATGGGCAGAGCGCCTTGTTCTGCCCTGAACTCCACCACATTCAGCTGCTTTATATCAGACAGATTCTGGTGAGTCTTCTGTAGTAGGACCGAGGAGAGGAAGTCAGTTATAAACCTGAAAAATACACTGACACACAGTTTAGAGCAGGGGCTGGGCAACTTCGGTCCTGGAGTGCCACTGTCCTGCAGAGTTTAGCTTCAGCCCTAATTAAACACACCTGCCTGTAGCGTTCTAGTGATCTTGAAGACATCGATTAGCTTGTTCAGGTGTTTTTGATTAGGGCTGCAGCCCTGGTTTAGAGGGTTCTTAGTTTACTGTGACCATACATACTTGAAGGAATAGTTCACCCAAAAATGAAAATTGACTCTCCCTCAGGCCATCCAAGATGTAGATGAGTTTGTTGGGAACAGATTTTGAGAAATTTAACATTACATCACTTGCTCACCAATGGATCCTCTGCAATGAATGTTGCCATCAGAATGGGAGTCCAAACAGTTGATAAAAACATCACAATAATCCACACGACTGATCTTTGCATATTTCTTTTTCGATTCAGATGAGCAATGGTTTGAAGCTAAAAACATCTTAATGGATTTATTACTAACATGCAGCTTTTTGCTTGATGTTGTTGTGTGGATTACTTGTGGATTGTTATGATCTTTTTATCAGCTGTTTGGACTCGTTTTGAACCATTAGTTTTATTCATATGAACCGACTCCCTAAAATACATCAGACCTCTCAATGCTACTTTTGCAATTGATTAAAGTGTCAGCAATGTGTACAAAACAATGTTTTATATATAAAGTAGTGAAGTATTATATAAGGTGTACTATATAATTGGTGAGCAAGGGATGTAACACTACATTTCTCCAAATTGAATTGAATGTCTTTATTGTCATTGTACAACAAAATTGAAATGCAAACCTTTGGGTGCATAATCTAACAATATAAATAAATCTAATAAATAGTAAACCGGTAACAGGATCAAAAACACCATTATAAACATAAGACGTCTCACGTTCAACAGTCAGTTACACGACTCATATTCAACATTGCACATGATGTTCAGTTAAGTTATTGCAGTATTCGAAACAGATGGATTAAGCTGTTAATCTCACATTCGACAGAATTGCACAACTCATTAAACATTGTACATGATATTCATCTTAAATCTGTTCAGATGAAGAAACAAACTCATATACATCTTGGATGGCCTGAGGGTGAGTAAATTTGAATTTTTGGGTGAACTATCCCTTTAAGGTCCTAGTGAACAGTAGATTATTCTTTAGTGAGGCCAAACAATGAGGACTCAGCAACTGGAATGATATGGATTTAGCCTTTACATTAGTTCCTTTATGAAGTTCCTGGATGTTTACTGGTCTTGGGACAACATTCTCAAGAATCATCAATCTGATTTTAGTATCAGTTAGGGATGAAGTAGGGGCTTGAACAACATTGTTATCTACCCATAATATCCTTCTGACATTATAGGTAATAAATGGCTGGGGTTAGGGGTAGGGCAGGTACTTACAAGTATTTAAGCAAATAATGATCAAAGAAAGGGTTAAGACTTTTCATGTCATAGTTGTTGTTTGATTAATATTAACAACATATAAATATGAGTTAAGACTATGTTTGACAGAAATGTGGTTTTAGGACTAATGGAAGATGCTGATTCTGAAACATATTATACTTGGAAAAATCATGGTTACTATATCAAACAGGCCACTGAGACATGTACAAAGACTGATCTTATTGGCTATTGTACTGATGTAATCTCTCACCTGATTGGCCAGGCTGTGGAAGAAAGCCCTGGTGATGTTGAGGAGGTTAACTGAACCATCTACTTTTGCATACATATCCTCTATCCCAATCAGTTTACAGAGAGTGATTACTGCCCGATGACAACGCAGACCATAACCTGACAGAGAGAGAAAATAATATCAAATATAAGAGAGAGATTGTCTTTTATTTATTTTTTTTGTATACAGTTTTTTTAATTAAGTTTTGATTACAATATCTTATACTGTATGTTTTATACATTTTTACTTTGTCATATTCATAAACTTACTTCCGTCAGTGGAACACAACACAACACAACACAACATATGTCCCATTGCGTTCCTCATGTATTTTTTTGTCCAAGTCAATGGGAACCAAAACTGTTTTGTTACCAACATTTTTCAAAATATCATCTTTTGTACTTTTCTACTTACACATAAAGAAAGTCATACAGGTTTGGAATGACATGAGGGTGAGTAAATAAAAATGTAAAAAATTTTGAGTGAACTACCCCTTTAACAAATGATAATATATAAAAATGTGTTACAGATAAACAAAAAAAAAGTTTTGGAATTATGAGCAAATATTTGTCAATAATTATCATCACAATGCCTATTTTTCATATTGTTTCATGCTGAAATTAAAAAAAAATCTCAGCAAATATTTTCATGGGTGAGATTAACAATGGAGAAAAGAAGGTAAAAGAATAGATGTCCAGGGTAAGTGTGATCGCATGGCTGTGTTCAAGAACAATATTAAACACACATTACACAACAATGTGAGTCTAAAAATAGGAAAGGTGGAATATCATGGTTCCCAGAGGTTCAGGTCCAATCATAACAGCTCCTGCCAGGTTTCATTACTCAGGTTTCAGCGGTGAGTCGTGGACTCTGAGAATTTGAGTCACATCAGAGCTCAGAACTCAATTACCATCAGCCCCATCTCAAATCTGAACACCATGATTTCAGCTCTGATGTCAGGAATGAAATAAACCCATTGTGGCTCAATGGATGTGAAAGAAAATCTAATACTATATGTGGGAACTGTTCTGGATATCAGGAAGACATTTGCTTGACTGTTTGAAATGATGAAGAGTTTAATTGGCATTTCTGCACTTTGTCAACTTGCAGTAAGACTTCTGTTGATGTCAAAAGTTATGCATGTAGTCGCAAAATTAGAGAACTTCCCCCTCAAAATCCAATCTAAAGTGGGCACAGGGGAGGAGATATACAGTGGGTACGGAAAGTATTCAGACCCCCTTAAATTTTTCACTCTTTGTTATATTGCAGCCATTTGCTAAAATCATTTAAGTTAATCTACTACTAGATCTGAATAGCAAGTACACGGGCCGTAGATGATCTAGAGAAACATGAAACCGAGTTTTGGATCTGGGATATGGTACATGTATGTGCAAACACCCCCCTGCAAATTCTCATTTAAAACAAATCATATTGCAAAACATATATGATGAGCTCAGTAAAATACTGGGCTCACAGCTCTGTTATCAAACAAACTGTGACTGTTTACATGCGTGTGTGAGGTCAGGCCACTTACCTTTGTTCTGTTTCTTCATTCTGAGTGTGGTCCTTTTAAACTTAGATTCAATGTCATGATATACTGCACATGAGGATAAAAAAAATTATTAATTATAAAGATGAGAAATTAACAAGAAATACGAGGAGGCCGCAAACTCAGTGTCATAAAACACATATAAAACACTTAGATCCTTGCTGAATATTATTTAAAAAAATAATAGTATAGTAAAAGAAGTATTTAAAAAAAATCTTACTAACTCCAAACTAGTGTATATAAATGCAATGTAATTGTTTCAGTACATTACATGGGAAACAGGGCTGGGTGATAAAAAGAAAAAATATTTTAGTATATCAAGTTCAATGTATATATCTGAAATCAATTAAAAGCTTTTTTTTGTAATCAGAGGAACCATCATTTCTTCGCATTATTGTAAATTTGATTAAAAAAAATTAAAATAAAATACAGTAAAAGGTGAATAATAATATGAATAACATTGCTTAATTTTATATCGCCAGCAAAATCAATGTGAATATATTATGAAATGAAAAAATATCTCCCAGCCCTAAAAGAG